TGTGAACTAAAAATGTGACAAAATAAAATTTAAGATACAGGTTAAAATGTACAGGTATAGGAGAAAGGATACCTAGCTTGGTAACAAAATTTGTGAAAAAGGATATTTGAATAGTTGTAATGACCATTGCAACATTTTATGATCAAAATTTGGGCACTTGGCAACCAGCATGTATTTTTGATAGTTGCAGCATCTGGTAATCATGTGTTCACCATCTGTTACCTTTTCAATCAGCTTCTGACAAGAAAAGGAAATGGGGGAAGCCAAATTTGCTTAGCAACCATGTTTCACTTAACAACCGTGGCAAAAAAAAGGTTATGAAATCAGGCAGAATTCACTTAATAATTGCCTTCCTTGACAATGGAAATTGTGGTCTCAATTATAGTTGTACGTTGAGAACTACCTGCAATTGTCTCCTCAGTGTAATATTGTAATATTGTAACTGTAATAGTCTTCTAATTACTATTGAAATTATCTTTAGGATAATCTATTCTTTTCATTCTAAAGCTGAGGAAATGGATCTTAAGCTAAAAAGGTCCATATTTCCAAATTCATACTAGACTGAAGATGGTAGGAAGGCATTGACAACACCAAATGGCTCAGATGGATACTTAGGGATATATATTTTTGAACAAAACAGTAACCAGAAAAAAATTTAGCAGGTACCAACGCTAGGTTGATACTGTGAAATGTATCTGATAACAGAAAATATGCTGAACTCCCTATATATTCTTTTATGATTCATTTGCAACCAACAAACTCAGAGCCAGGTGGATTTGTTGTTGTTAGTTGCGAAGTCATGTCCGACCCATCACAACCCCATGGACAACGTTCCTCCGGGCCTTCCTGTCTTCTACCATCTTCTGAAGTCCATTCAAGCTCACGCCTACAGGTGGCTTACACTGCATTTAATATAGTACTCAAGAAATGACAATTTAAGATATTAAAACTGATGACACTGAATTGCATTCTAGGGATGTCCATCTGTGACTAGTAACCCATCTTTGTTTCTATTTCTCTCTGCTGAATGAAAGCCTTGATTTTTACATTAAACTATAACACAGTGCACTTGTGAAGCACCTCACAATCCCATATTATCCCCTTACAAATCTTTGTCAGCGTGATGACATGTTCCAATTAACTTTATTGAAATCCAAACAGCATCAAAGCCCATAGCTCAAGGGCAGCTAACCCATTTTGCTAGTCCTGGATCTTATGGGTAAAAATCCACTTTCCCATAACAGCTATGCTATTTTTTCTGTGAATGGCAAGCCAGTTGTCTTTTGAAATGTCAGTATTATTTTGTTTGAAATATCCAATAGGTTGTTTACATCTTAAGAGCTAATACTTCAAAGAACTCATTTCCTATGGCGAGAAGAAAATTAAAACAGGCATGGGAAGTACTACAATAAATAACACATGCAGTATGGGCGGTATCATGAGCAACCATTAACCTACAGTAGAAATGAAAGTACTCATGAACAATGGATGGGGATGTAGGAAATGCCTTCTGGATCCTATTTTGTCACAAACTATATATGCAACTAAGAACAAGGGGGATGTCAGCCTAAATTGCACACTGGTGAAAAATTGATGGCCTTGCTCATTCATGAAATATGACGGGAACTAAATTCTTTTTACGTTACTTAAGGTACTTCATGCCTGGGCAGTAGTTCCCATTCTACTATGTTCTACTATGTTCAAAGGACTACAACTACTTCTAACTTTCTACGTAACCACTTCACTCAGGGTAATGATTTATTTATGCTGCATACACCCACAGCATTCACAGTGCTTAGAATTACAAACATGTATGAACAGAGAATCCTCTATCCCCAAAAAGCTTACAGTTCAGAAAGGGGAAAAAAGAAGAGTGAAAAATGCATGCGCTTTTAAGATTATTTATTTATATGAAAATTTAGAAACCACCCTTCTCATTCACAGAGCAACTCTGGGCTTAGCTACAGTTTAGCTGAGAAACCAACGTTTACTTTGTGTAGACAGGTTAAACCATAGATTTTGCAGGAAACTAGTTTTGATTTAAAATAGTTTTAGAGAGCTGCCGTCTGCACTGTGGGGTCAAAAAATCAAGATGGGAGGCAGCACAAGCCAAGCCCCACCCCTTTTAATGTCCGTGATGTAGACACACAAAAAAGGGCAGGGCTTCTAGCAATCTGCATAACCATCACGCTGACTATATTATTAGTTTTTCCTTACCCTGAAGATGGCACTGAATTGACACCTTGGGAAAATTTGTGAAGAATGGAATTTGAGGAGGAAAGAATTGGAAAACAATTTCCCTGTTTCAAGTTTTCTTTAAGATATTTCACTATTCTCTTCAGGATATTTCATATGCTATTCCACCAATGGGAAGGAAATGCATTTTTCAATTCATGTATCCCATATTGTTTATCTCTATGGTGATTATTGTTGCCATACAGGACAGAAACAACAGAGCTCTTACACTACAATGCAGTACTTGTAGATTTTGAGTTGCAGAAGAGTGGAAGAGAATATTTTCTTTCAAGAAAACATTAATAACCAGCAGACACTGGAACCATAGGCTGTATTTCTATTTTAATTAAAGTAGCCATTTCCCCTTACTGTTGGTAAAATAGTAAAATTTGTGCAAGGTAAATCAAGCTTTATTTTGGAAAATGTCTATTTAAAAGTGCACTGAGGTACAAACTGCATTCCTAAGGAAAAAAATGTGGGTGGGTGTTAAATGATTTTTTCTGCAGCTGTATTAACTAATATTTGGAATGGATATTTTGCTCATTTCCTTCTCTTCCTATTCATAATGATATATGCAGTGTTCATTTTTCACCTGCTAATTATATTTTTATGTAGTTGTAATGATTTGGGAAGCAGATGTATGATGACAATGCCATATAAATGGGGACATGGCGTTCCACATTATCCTACTAGTTTTCTCCCATTCTATCCAAAATGTCTATGGACATTTAATTTTCCATCTTATTAGTCTCATCTTGACAGAAGAAAATACCTTTAACTCAGGGATGAAGTGTTCTTGGAGCTCTTGACAGTTTGCTTGCAGATTTTCATTACCCAATTAGGTAACATCATTAAATAAAATACAATCCATATAAATAAGGATAATTTTTAGACAAGCAGCACAATTGTTTTAAAATGTTCGTACTGCTTTCAACTACAAATTATGGGGAAATTATGGAGGAAAAAGGCCATTTTTGTGGTAAACTGGAATCCTAGAAAAACGCTGTCATTTTCTTAGACACATATTTCAGAACTTAGGAGAAGTAAAATTGACATGAATTCACTTGACTTTTTACTGATCTCACTGTTCAGCTTCAGGGAACTAAATTTTAAGCAATCCTGCTTGCTGGAGATTAAGAAGAGGCTGAGTTAAGTGATACAGCTTTTTAAATTGAATATTCATCCAGCTGGAAGGCACTCTGTTAGAAAAGAACACTACTCTAAATCTGAAAAGAAAAAAGGGCAGTTCATGAAGCACCCACTGGTAGGGTATGAATTAAATGTTAATATTTTAAATATCAAGATCATTAT